ATGCATGACATGAACACACTTGCGTGAAAGGGTCCCCAGGACCCATGCAAAATTTGGTATCGGAGCGGATGCTCGCTACACTCATAGCGCTGGTCTGATCAAGGCCGGCGAGAAGAAGTGGTGATGGAGGAAGAGTGAAGGGGGGAGGAAGAGAAGAAGGGTCGATAGTGGGGGAAGCAGGCCGAAAAAGAAGTGGCGAAGTCTACTTACCTGAAGCGTGCAGAGCGTCGTGGAGCATCATCGGCGGTATCTTCAAGAAGAGAGAAGCACCTCCTTTCCCTGAACCTGCATGTATGTGTGTGTCCCCTACCTCCTCTCTCTCTGACCCTCTGAAGGTGACTGCTGCTGGTCTGGAGTCGAAGTCTGGATCTGGGTCGTCCTGGAGTCTGGATGGTCCAAGTGCGATGTGTCATGGCCTGGTCACACTAGATTAGGTGATCCAGTGTTCTGCGAGTAGGAGTAGACTTCTCTCCTACCCCTCTCGATAGGCAGACTGGGTATTGTCGTCAAGGATTGAGAATCGATGTGGGAAGTGGCTATCTGCCACATCAGATTGCAAGTACCAGGCAGCGTAAGAATGATAGTGAGTATCTATAGGGCCTGTTGAGCCCGCTAGAAAGAAACATCTGAACGAAGTATTCCTGCCTGGTTGGATAAGTGAACCATCTGAATCTGATCTTCTGCATTGTACTCCATACCTGCATCAGACACCCAGCAAGTTAGTATAAAAAAAATATATATCCAGGGGAAACAAGACATCAGAAACACATTGCCAAAAGCTCGATCCAGGGAGCCAGACCGCATATCACAAGAAAAAGAAAGAGTAAGCATACCCAAATCGTAAACCTATTTTAGGTTGATCTGTTGTTTGATCTACGCAGCACCTTCTACAATCAAAAAAAAAAAAAGAGGTACCGTACTCCATTCACCGCAGATTAGGAACTGAGTCCGTAAGTGGGATAGTGCCTTGGTGATCCGGCGGAGGGTCCCCTGTGTCGGTTGTCATCATGGATGACTATCCCATCCAGGGCCTGTTGGCCCTTTTTGTCTTATTGAGAAGTAATCAGATGTAAACTGCCACTGTTTGAGAAAAGCAGCAGTTATTAAGGCTTCCGTTGTTTGCGATTTGAAATTACACGCGTGTTTCGTTTGACATCGAAGAAGCATGGAGAACTGCCACTGTACAACGGTACATGCATGCGACGTAAAGCACATACATCAATTAAAAAAATCTTCTTAAGTTACATGGATATCTGTGTGTGCATTTGCATATGTGGGTGTGGGCAGGAGTTTGACGAAAGTGGCGACCCAGATAGACATATGCAGCAGCTGACTGAACTAGCGAAGGAGGGCGCTGCACGAGGCAAGGTGTGGTGCATCCCCCTCTTCTCTAAAGGAGTTTCATCGCAGGAAGGAAGGACTACTGCAGGACAAATCAGATTGCGAACAAAGTCATTTTGCCTCTGTTCTCTGTTTGTGTCCGTGCATGACCATCCATCCGCCTTCTATTCGTATGTCCATCCTTTTGTCCGTCTATCTGTCCATTTGTCCACCCGTCCATCTCTTCATCCGTGGGACGGACTATGTGCATGCCTATACTAGCTCATTCCATCTGTTTGGATGCCTATTCTCGCTCATCCTGTCGATCTAGATGCGTAAATGTTCCCCTCATTCTGTCTATTAGGATGCCTATGCTCCTTTATTCCATCTAGTTGAATGCCTGTGCTGTTCATTCCATCTATTCGGATGCCTATTCTCGCTCGTTCCATCGAAATTCTATCTCATTCTGTCTATCTGGAAGCTCATGCTCCCTCGCTCCATCTATTTGAATGCCTGTGCTCATTCATTCCGTCTATTTGGATGCCTATGTGCTCTCATTCCGTCCTTTTGGATGCCTATGGTTGTTCGATCCATCTATTTGAATGCCTATTCTGTGTTCGATTTATGTGCATGCCTATTCTCCGTCTGTCAATGTCCATTGGGTTAGCGCGCCTCTCCCCCTCCTCCCCCCCCCCTCTCCTTTGGCTCTTTGAGATGCTGTGTAAACATTCAAGGAACAGCAAAATTTAATTTAATTTAATTAATTGATTGCACGTAACGTGCATGCGCACCTCTAATTTCTCTACAGATGAATCATGGGTGAACTCGCCAGGTCAGGTGATTATCCTGAGTCTCTTTTTTTCGGAAGGTTATCTTTATAGGTGTAGGTCAATCTTTTCAGCCATTCTGACAGAATTTACAGGGGGGGAAATTGCAATTTCTGATTATTTCTCACTATACTTTGCAACAACCTGTGGTATGCCTGCAATTTCTTCCGTTTGTCGCATGCCCTTCGAACGCACGCAACTTTGTTGCAGGCCCTTATCATATGCTAAGTTTTAGAAGCACTAGTACCTCCGCCAGTGTTGGGAAATTAGGGAAAAGGGCTGTTCCCGAAGAGTTCGGAGGCCGGGCCCAACGACGGCTGCCGTTGATAAACCTCATCGACAGCCGTCTTTTCGTTTCCGCCTCCTAAAAGGTCGGAGGCCCAGCCCAAGAGGCCCGCTATTTCCCCACTCGGCAAAGGTACTAGTGGTTTAAGATGCATGCCATTCTTTGGCAGGGGCCATGACTCTTACGAGTCGGGAAATGGGAAACCAAAAAAAACTTAAAAAAAGGTTAGAAAAATACTGGGCGATGAACGCAATCTTGAGAAGTCTACAATTTACATACCATGCATGTACTCAGATTGCGCAATGATTGCCGGCAAATCCAAGCAGCAAGTAGACTTAGAGATTAGACAAGGGAAAATAAGATTCAGAAGGGAGGAGGAAAGCTTCCAGTTATAATCAAAATGTGCACAACATCACGGTTCTTCCACCATCCTGCAACATCCAGGCTTCGTCCTTCCCTGCTCGCCACTTTGCTGTCACCAACCTAACCCTCTATAGATAATGGAGCTAATGTCTCTCCAAGAAGCCAATCGCAAATCATACCTCCAGCGCAATAGCCAGTGGAACCTTGGAGGATGATGACAGAACCAGCATTGCCGACCTTCGGAACCATGGCGATGTCTCACAAGCAGAGCAACACCACTGAGTGAGTCAGGTAAGCCTCTCTCTCTCTCTCTCTCTCTCTCTCTCTCTCTCTCTCTCTCTCTC